TCTAATTCTGGTTTATCCTATGTTGGGAGTTGACTTTGTTTTGAAAAAACCTGATTCCAAGTGAGAATAGGCATCTCTTTGTTTCTGGTTATCCTTATTCTCTTGCGAAGTATGAGAGTTCCGTTCGAATGCCATCGCTAAAATATCACGAAGACTCGAGGGCAAAATTTTTCTATCGCCACTTTTGTGAATAACCTAACCTCGAGGGGGACAATAATTATTCACGCTCGGCATCGAGATAAACGCACAGGAACATAAGCCAACACAAATCGGTTCGATAAGGAAGATTGAGTGATTTGACGCATATCAAAGAGTGTTTATCCGCCTTAAAAGAATATGCAGAAATCTTTTAAGGAGGATAGTTGAGTCCGTAGCAAGCACATCGCATGGTGCGGAACTGTCCCTATTCTGAATTTTGTACCTCGTAGAAATTTCTGTTCTTGTCCTCCTTTCGGAATCCCAGGAGAAACTTCGCGTTCAAATGCCAAGGTGTGAAGATTGGAAAGTGAGTTGCGCTCGTTTAGGATTGCTGACATGATTAGCTACCCGAGGAAGAGCTGACGTGTCGGCCGACGCTGTTAGTCGGAAGAGCCGAGGCGAGCTACCTATCTAATGTCTCGGCAGAAGCGGCTGACTTAGGGAGAATCATCATGAGAGTTCTTTTGAGATTTCGCGTATCGTTAGATCTGTGACGTATTGCGTTTTGTCGTTTTAGAGAGTTGGTGGACTTGGAACTCAAACTTGCACCTTGCTATTTTTGAGACTTTTTGAAACTTTTGAAATTGAGAAACGCCTGAAATATATATTGTTTTGTTGATTCCAAAATTTTTGAAATTTGGTAAGACCATTCCTTTTTGGTAGCCTCGAATTGTAATTTCTTGTGGAAACCTGGACCAAATCTCGACCCTGGCTAGGTGTAGCCACGCGAAGTGGTGGCCGAGCACGCACGACCATGAGGGAAGACGGGAGGCTTGCGCGCGGCCGACCGTTGACTCGCATGCGAACTGCAGCCGCCATCACCGTACGCACGAACTCCCCAGGCCAGTGTATACGGCCAACCATCGATGTTTTGTTGAACTGTTGAAACCGTTTCATGTTGAAATACTTGGTTATCCTTTTTGAACCCCCTTTCGTTGAACTTTGAACCGAGAGCTCCAAGTCCCACAATGTGTGTAAATCCTTAATCGATGATTTCTGATTAAGGAATGTAGTCGATGAGTCCCTATGCTTTACTTGAGAGTTTCTCGAGTCGGCAAATTGGGAATGTCGTGTTGCTTTGGGTCAAGCCTTATGTTTGTGCATAAGGGTTGCGTTAGACTCGTGGAGTCGATATCATGAGAGTATGAGCATGATGGTGTCGTGCTATATATTTGTGGTACCGTGTCTAGTCTCTGATGGAGACACACGGTCCGTGATGGAATCGTGAGCAAGTTATCAGTATGACTCGGACGTGAGACTGAAACTTGGTGTCACGTGACCACCTCGATGATGAGGTAATCGGAGTACGCTGACAATACACCGAGCGACCTGTTGAGGTCTTGTGTGTTGTTAGGTACGAAGCAAGTCATTGATACTCATGAGTACAGGCTAAACCGAATTGAGTCCCTTGCAAGAAGATGTACGCTTGAGCTCGGGCAGGACTGATCACCCTCCCAAGCAAGAAAGTAAACATATGAGCACAGGCCGAGTCGGATTGGTTCCTGAATGTGAGTATATGCCTTTCGAGTATAAGGCGATAGGACTCATGGGAACGAAATCGAGTTCTCGAGAGTGATGCCGGACCTCGTGATTGGAAGTTCCCGTTTGGGTCTGTCGTTATCTGTGATGTGTGTTCTTTCGTATTTCCGAGGGCGGAAATATTTTAAGGAGGATAGATTGTAATACCCCGTTTGAATTATAGAATTTTGAGGAATAATTAATATTATTACTATTATTTATATTCATGTGTTATTAATAATATTATTGGTTGGGATGTTATAAGTTATTAATTGTCAAATATGATTTATTTGTCAAATTGCTTGATTGTCTAAATATTGAATTAATTGCCTAATTGTCTAAATGTTAATAATTAATTAAAATGTGTATTTGTATTTTTACTATTATTATTATTATTTTCTTAAAATTTAAATTATGTATTATCAATACATATTATATATTTTGTTTGTTTATTTAATTGTGCGAATTTATTTATCGAGCCCGAGAAATCTGTATTACTTCTACGTAGTCGGGCCCGAGAGCCGTTTCGTTTCTTTGAACCGGAACCGCGAGCCCGACAATTCGACCCGTTTTTGCAAATAAATTTGGCCTAAATTGATTCAATTTTTCGGCCCACGATGTAACTCATTCTTGGCCCATTTGAGTTAATCTTGTTGCAACCCTAAGTCTTGTATCTATATCTCATCCCTATTCACCCGCAGCTTTCTTTTCTCTCGTCAAAGTACGCCCCTCAGCTCTCGTCTCGCTCTCACCCTAACCAGATCTCCATCCCTCTCTCTCGCTAATTAAATCCCGTCGCCATCATCTCATCTCCCTCTCGTTTTTCCAATCATCGTCGGCCCCTCGCGAAATCATCCTCGCTGCGATCGTTCGTGACCAGCAGGCCTCGTCCCGCTCGTGACACCCCATCGTTGAGCCTGCAAATTTCCGGCAAGCCCGTCCCCTCCGCGCGCAGGCTCCTCCTCCGGCGATCCGCGTGCCTGCATCTCCGACGACCTTCTCTGCGCAACGCTCGTCGTGTACCAGCATGCCATCTCCGACAACGCCGCCCTCGACCACCGCGAGCCGCTGACGCTCCGCCTAGACGCTGCCCCTCCGTGAGTAGACCCGCGGACCCTGACGAACCGCTGCCCTAGCCATCGCAGCGTCTTTTTCCGGTGGCCCCGTCCGTCGCTGCTCCTTCTCGAGTCGCTTCTCCGCCGCTGCTCCTCCGTGCACGTTCCACCGGCGAGCCCAAGCGAAAGCGGTCGAGCCGTTGACCCCGCAAGAAGGCCACACGCAAATCGAGCCCGTCAACCCTCGTCCGTTCCGTTTTTCGAGCGTAGACCGAGAACGGTACCGAGGTTCATCTCTCTCGTTAATTTCATGTTTTGGATGATGTGTTGAACGTGTGCTACGATTATGTACTTGAGCCTATACATTCTATGTGTTCTATGAATATATATAAATGCCTATGACGTTTTTATGTGTTCATGAGATTATATATATTCATGTGTGTAGACGAACTCTTCGATTTTGAGAAAACGAACGAGACCTCGTCATTCGTGTTTAGGACTGTGGCAAATGGAACCTTGTCGAGTCCGTGGCCTCATGGCGAAGGCCTCGGACGAATTCGGTGTGTTTCGAGTCTTATTTGGATTTTTGAAACCATAGTTGCTGCTGAATCGAATTTAAATCATGATAAATCGCATGCTGCTCCGAATGCTTTGAAATTTTATATGTGATGTCATGTGGTGATTATACATGTCGTGTAAAAATTTCATGATTTTAGGAGGTCTGTAGCTATTTTTAATAATTATTTGGAAATCTGAGCTGAATCTTGTAAAATGCATGTTAAATTCGGTTTTGCCTCAAAAATTATGAAATTTGAATATGATGTCTTCCTGTGTGTTTTCTAGGTTGTGTAAAAGTCTTGGAATTTTTGAGCTTCGTTTGCTATATTTAAAAAATCATTTGTGGTATTCTGCAGATTCATAATTTAATTTTATTAAATTGCATTTTTGCTGGAAAATTCTGAAACTTTACTGAGAGGCTTATTTTATGTACTTATGCATGCTGTTAAAATATGAAAAATTTTGGAGTTCATTTTAGTTCGATTTTGCTTTAAATTCGATAAACTGCTGAAACTCGTTTGAATTTTTAAAAATAGAAGCAGTTGATGTTAAGGGCTGGGATTTTTATATGTTGTTTATATCATGCAGTAGTGTACTGTGTAAAATTATCAAGTCCTGAATCATTCATTAAGTTTGAGTATAAATTCATGGCTCGGTTTTGCTGATATCTTGTGTGAATTTTATAAAATAGTGTACTTTGGATTTTAAGCTGAAAATTTGTGTATTTGCTTAACTCTGGGAGGTAAAATTTTGGTTAAAATTTCAGGGTCAGATTCATATGGTAACCTGGTCAACTCATTTTTGTGATTTAAACTGGTATATTCGTATATATGGTTTTTAGATTGGAAACTGTAAACCGACTCGTCATTTATTTCATTAAGTGTTTGACTTGGTCAATGATTATGTTTGGATTATGTGAACTCCCATGTGTAATTGGTTGAGTCTAGATGTCAAGTCTAAGTGTTCCAACGTCCACAGGACTTCACGAACAACTTAGTTGAATCAAGTTCGACTAAGTATGATTGTGATTTCTCGTTTAAGTCTGAATAGGTGTTGATTATAGCATCTGGACTTAATGTAGGTATTTGACGAGCCGAGCTCGCAGCCTAATCGTGCTTTCGTGGTTATCTCCTATTTGCGACCAGGTGGGTTTTATTTTAAAAGTTGTCTATGCCATAAATTATTTACATTTGTTGCTTGGTGTGATTAATGCATGCGTATGAACCATGTAACCCTCGTTGTGAGCTGTATGTCCTTTGAGCGGTTGTCCCCGTCGTTGTGAGCTGTATGTCCTTCGACGGTGCCTTTTATAGGCAGTCTCCCTAGCCTAATGATAGGCAAGGCCGAGGGGAGCTGTACGCCCTTCGGTATTTTACTCCCATTGTTGTGAGCTGTATGTCCTTCAATGGCTAATGATAGGTGTGCACATTGAGTAAAAAGGTTATGATTAGGAGATGTGATAATTGATTGATTCGTGTTCATGCTGCAACCATACCTAACTATTGTTGTATATAATTTATTGCATAGTGGTGAGCACCTCGATTTCCTATTGTGCTCATCCCCACCTGAAATTCACGTTTCAGGTTAAGCAAGGCGGGCACGACGGCGTGATGGCGAGTGGATGGTCATTTTATGTTATTTGTTTCCGCATTGTTTATTTGAATAAGTTAAACCCGATTTGATGAACTTGAACTGCTTGGGTTTTGAACAAGTGAATTTGTTTCAGACCATGTCGTTTGAAAATGTTGGTTTTGAACTTATGTTTTGGTTCGTATTATTGAATTATGATTGGATATTCAGGATGAATGTGTTATTTGAATATCATGTGAATTGTTGGTTATAGGACAATGAAGTCCATGTGAAAAACCGGGTAATGAAATCCCGTGAGGTTTCAAATATGAATTGAAATCACGATAATGCCCTAATGATATGGATTTTGAAAAATGAATTTCGAAATATAACCTTGATTTTTGAATAAGCCATGGATTATTTCTTAAATCAAAGTGGGGCGTTACAATTGCGTCTATTTTTTCTTTGCCAAGATAATTTTGCATAGAGTATATAAATTTGACATTGTTTATCTTTTGTTTGCAAGCTGTATATATACCTATTCAAAAACCTATGAATCGTTTTATGTGTACATCACGTCTGAGTCTGATGGGATATGTATACTCTAAATGCTCGCAGTAGCAATATCTTTAATCGAACGATAGTAAGAACCTTGAATGATTTCTGTTCTGTTCCATATTCTTCATTTTCAGGACTTACAAGTTATAACTGCTGCACCAGTTCAAACTGAGGAGCCAATCTACAATGATCCTGCAATTATTCAGGTGGTTTGTGCTGCATTTTTCACAAGTCTGTTTTTACCAATATTTTCTTAAAATAAGTTGGACAACCATCCATGCATAACATAATTTTTTCTGTATTTGTAGTCAAACTCTAACATGAGACCTCTGAGTTCATCAAAACCCGTGTCACCTACTGTTGGATCTTTGCCAGAGTATAACTTGTATGCTGAGCCCCCTGCACCGAATGCAAAAATCTACCAGAACACATTACCTTCATATCCTTCTGAAACTCTGTCCGGTTTATGGGGAACATCTCACACGACCCACAATACTGCATCATCTTATGGAATGCAAACACAATGGCAGGGATATAGTGCATCAAATATTCCCTACGATATATCTCATGTCCGTTCAAGTGCGACTTCAAGTTCTATATATTTGACTGCTACACCAACTCTTTCTTCTGAACAACTATCCACTCCCTATGCTGATCCAGTTCCTTCAAAGCCATCTTTACCAGTTCCTCAGTCTACATTGATAAGCTCCAATGGACTGACCATGCCTTCCTTGCTAACCTACCAGAACACTACTAGCATTGAGCCTCGAGTTGTTAATAAAGTAGCTCTTGACCCTGCATCTTTGCTTCCTGTTCAGTCCTTTCCAAATTCTGTGACATCTGTCCCTGTCCCAATAGTGGACCCTCAACAAGTTTTTCTGACTCCAAACCTATCACAACCGAAACTGACAGAGCATTCACTGGCACAAACGCTGTACCCTGATCAAAAGGATATCACAATTATGAGTTCAGCTAATCCGAGTTACTCATCCCCTGCTGCTACTGCTGTTCAACCGCCTCTTTTGCCACTGCCCCCGCATTTGCAGAAGGTAAAACTCACTGTTTTTTGTGTTGCTTTCAGTAATTATGCTCATTTTTCTTGCTATAGGTTATGTGGTTGTAATGAAATGTGCAATATGCTTTGTCATTGTTTTCATATTGATTTGTATCTGCCATGATTCAATGGGATTAAGTGTACGTGGGATAGATTTGTTTTCCAATTTTTTCTTTCAGAAAAATTGGATACCTTGTTCGATGCATCTTCTCCTTGTGAAACATTTATTTTCTCTATTACCAAGAATTGGTGTTTTTTCAGTTAAAATAACTTATAACTGCTTCAACGCTCAGATCCTTAAAAATGAACTTCATAGCTTAACCAAAGACAGTACACTTACCTTTTTCTTAGTATCCATGAAAAAAAAAAAATTAACTGGACCTGCAAATGCAAACACTGAGTTCTTCCTTTCGAAATACTCGTGTTGGCCATGCCATATTACTTGTTTTTGGATTTAAATCCTCTTGTTTGAGCTTATTAATATACTGGGGAAATTTTCGGTGGTCATCTTTTTTAGACAACTTATCTAGGTATTTCTAAAAATCATGAAAATTCTATCCAGTAACAAATTTTCCTTTTCGGAAAAATGTAGTCGCATTCCCTGCAGTTCACTGAGGAATTTGATTTTCAAGCCATGAACGAGAAATTTAACAAAGATGAGGTTTGGGGGTACCTCGGAAAAGCCAACCAGAGAGAAAAGGTAGAGGGAATGCAGGAAAATGGAATGAGCACTCTGGAGCTTGGTGATGACAACCCTAAACTGACGTCCAAGACTAATGCCAAGGTAGCTTCTAAAGATTATATGCCCAATTAATATTTAACTGTTAATTGATGATTTTTATTTATAATATTTTAGACTGGAAATTATTATTATTATTATTATTGGCATCTAGAATAATATTTCTTTTCTATATGCAGCCTGCATACAACAAAGACGACTTCTTTGATTCCATTTCCTGCAATTCTGTCGGTCGTGGAACAAGGAATGGGCATAATTGGTTTTCGGAGAGGATGAAATTAGACTCTCAGGTATGCCTCCCATGATACGAAGAATCCATCTTTTACAAATTTGACCCCCTTTTTTTTTAAAAAAAAAAAAACTATTATCTTTAATATTTCCTTATGTTTCAATTCAGACGTTGGGCAGTTTTCAACGGAGGACTCAATTCGGGTATGGTGGGCATAGAGAAAGTGGAGTTGGTGAGCATCATGGCTCGTACAACAATCGGCAGAGGGGTCACAATTATGGTCATAGAGGCCATGAGGAGGGTAGGGGTCATATGGAGAGATGACATTTTCATGATTACTACACACAATGAGCTGATTTCTAAACTCAGAACTCGAGCTAAGGATAATGGTTTGGTTTGAACCTTGGGTGGTTTTATTAGATCTTTTTTTGTCACACATAGCAGATTAGTAATGGCAGGGTGGCATATATTTTTGGAGCTTTGACCTGCCTCTGATTGTTGTAGACTTGTAGCATACTATTATCCTTTACAAAATCTTTAAATGGTCCGAGGGGCAAGTAGTTATGTTCTTCAGTTATCGGTTTTGTACTCTTCTCTATTAGCCTTTAGGGGTTTGAGCAAAATATATAACTAAAAGAAAAAAAAAAAAGATTGATTTGATATCTTGATCACGGCTAGTACTGGTCTTGTCGTATTTTGTATTTTTCTTTTCTCATCAATGTTCATTAATATTTAATCATTAAGCAAGTGTAGCAGATGACCCAGAACAATAGTATGAATAGAGGGCCAGATATATTGATGCTCAAAACTGAAAGAAGACAGGCGTAGGGACTAACATGTTACATATGCAGGGCTGTGATAAATATTTCCTTTTCTTTAGTGGAACTGATGAAAGATTGCTCAACTTACATTTTCTACCGTATGGCATGAATGTCATATAGGCACGCTGATGGCAAGGATAACTCAAAGTCTAATCGAAGTAGATAATTCCCTTCCAGACTAAGTTTGTGCAGTACTCGAGTATCATAAGTTACCGAAAAATTACGTTTTCACTTAATAGTGCTAAGAATGTACATCCCTCTCAAAACCTGAAGACATTCCTCTCCAAACCTGAAGTGCTCATTTTCATAACTTCATTTTGTCAACTCAATTTCAATAGGGCCAGAAAACATTCGCACACAATGCATGAAGTAATTATTGGACGAACATAGTAAAATTCTAACATCTAATGAAAAATTCGACTCCCTCAACCGAGGAACGAGTCAGGTGCTGATATAAGGTTACATAACCCTAAATATGTTCATATCTCAGGCAATTAGATGAACAATCAAATACAAGAGTAACATAAAAGAGTAACTAACTCTAGGATAACTTTCTATAGAAGGTACATACAGAGACTATTTACATATCTGATTTTTATTTTATTCATTTAGCTTCGACAGCAGGAAAAGGCAACCGGACGAGAGGAGGACAGATGCAGAGAAACAAAGAAGATCAAAAGGCGATTGTATGATGGTTTTTTTGCTCTTGTCAAACAACCCAATAAGCAGAAGCATCACTATAACATGACCGAGTTTTGTTTTCAGCTCGTTCACGGTTTTTATTTCCAGCCATCGAGGTCGTTCCTGAGTAATTTTAGTAAGAAGGCAGAAAATCAAACTAGAAGAGAAAGAGAAAAAATTAAATAAATAAATAAATAAAATGATTGACATTTCTTGTCAGCTAAATGTGGATTTTGCAGATTGCTATAATTGCTTACAAAATTTTCAGTTTTCTGTCACATGTTATACAATAAATATGAAATTTTATAAAGATTAACATAAGTTTTTTGGTCATATGTCAAATAACATAACCAAGAAGATGAAATCCGTGTGTAATTGATTCCATAAGGACAAATTTCAAATGGCTAAGTTTTTTGGCCATATGTCAAATACAATACATAAGCAAGGAGATGAAATATGACGGCAGTACCAGAGATACTCAGACATACCTTGAGAGTGAACAAACCGAACAAACTTGATCTGTAAGTAATTCTTCCATCCGACATGGATTTTGATTTATCGAGATTACTGATAAACAGCTCATAAAGGCCCATGCCAAAGACCAACATCACAGTTCCAAGTAAGTAGACATCTAAGAGCGGATTAAAAAAAAAAAAAATCAGCTGAAAATATTATCACTGCAAATGAAATTCTTAGAATGGCAATGACATGCATACCAGTGGCCTCAACAAGTGATGCAATCGTTTTCCCTCGGTCCACAAAATAACCTTGAAATGACGATACAACATATACACAACCCTATACATGACACGTTTGATTATCATCATCTTCATTATTTTTAAGTGAAAAAGGCATAAAGGAAAGAGACACATACACACACACACACACACACACACCAAGATCTCGTCTTATGAGGTGGTTTCTAAAGCTAGTTCTGGCTTGTCCACCGTAATTATACTTTCACCTTAAAACAAAATTGCATCTTTCACCAAGCCAAATTTTTAAACCAATCCAACTACGAGCTATTTCTTAGTCATTTTAGATGGAAAAATTTACATGAGACAAATTCGGCAAACTGAGATGTGAATTATTGCATTTCACTTGTCCAGGCAACTGGCTTAGTATCAGCTCAAGCCTCAAGCTACTCATTTTACCATCTCACATTTACATGTTAATCTTAATCTATGTTACTAAGTGTTCTGACTTATCACCAGATGAGGTTGTTCAGAGGGCTATTGTAGCCCGAATTCATATCTCCAGCCAGCTCCCAATATGTGGTATTGAAAGTGATCACTTATTTTAGCCCTTCCGAGTCCCGACAATTTCATAATTGTCTGTACAAGTGATCAACTTAACTCGAAATGATCTACAGAAATTTCCAAAAGCTATCACTCAACAACTTAACCCAATCAACATGCACAAACAGACTAATTATTCATAATGTGAGATTGTTTACTAGTTCAAACACATCACACTCTTAAACATAATTTAATACCTCTTTTCTGAATCAAAATGTGACAGCCTCACATAATAAAGCAAAGCAGGGTCTAATTAATGTTTCCCTAAAGTAGTAAAAAGAAGGGCCTTACCTTAACGAAACAAAGAAACGACCCAACCAGTGATCCCCAAACCGCAAGAATGGCAAAAAAACGACACCCATAGATTAACTGCTAGCAAAACAACAAAGTAATTTTATCCAGCCATAATCTCCGGAAAGAAAGCATAAAAATATAGAGCTCCAAAGCGTTTCCAATTAGTTATTTATTTTTTTGTTAAAAGAACTCACCTTTTCAATATAGACTTCAACCTTCTCCACCTTCGCTTCCTTAGGTTCGTGAGAGAGACCCACAGAATTAACATCTGACGCAACAGTAGTCACTGGAAGATGGTCGCCTCCCGACGCTGTTGGCCGGAAATTCACAAATTTGGGACGAAATTGAACGGCCCACCTGACATTTGGCCCCAATTTTTTAGCTTTGAGGAAAAACGGCGTCGTCGGCGCTCTTGATAGGGCTTTGGTGGGGTTCATGGTAACTGGCAATTGTTGGGGGTTCTTTACATGGAAGCTACACGGGTTTCGCGAGGAGCTTTTACATGCTAACGTAGGACAAGGATAGAGCAGAAAACGACAACAAAGGGGGCCAAGATATTCTTTCGAGTCTTGGTGATCCACGGAACAAGATTGTCTCTTTTTCCCCAGAATGCCACAATGGTCGAGGCCGAAACACGTCATTTGTAAACTGTGCTGTGTTGCGACAACGAGAGTAAAATTAAATAACAAGTAGAACTGTTATTTATTTTCTTTGAATTTTGCAAAAATAAAAGGTAAATTTCTAATGATATCTTTCCGCCATGGCTGGGAAATCTACCTTCACCTCCTTCTATCGAACGGTATCAAAAAAATAAATCTCATCTGCAGCCCCGCCTTAAAATCCAAGTTCTTCACTCTATTCGCTGCCTCCGGCCAGCTGGGCAAAAGCCGTTGGGCTTCCGGCGTCGGGTTGAGGACGCGGGCCGGGTTCCTTGTCGATCTATGTGTCCATGGATATTGGGTTCTCGAAAAACGGCAGTTTCCGAGAGTACATGTCCATCTACTGTTAGGTGGTGTCGAGGGGTTTTGAGCCTGGGAATTTTGCGCTAAAGACTTGCTCGGCAGCATTGGATTTGTGGAACGGTAGAGCTGCGCATGGACGGATTGTGAAAGGCGAGCGAGAATCCCGATCAGGTGGAGTATAATGCTCTTTGAAATTCTACAGCGACTGTGAGATGTTTAATGATTTGTTGAAGTGTTTGACAAAATGCCCAACTGAAATTTTTTGCAGGGGTGGGGTCTTTATGAGAGACCAAGGCCTTTGAAACTATCAGGAAACTGCAGAGGGAGAATGTGGTGTTCACATGGGTAAGTCTATCTATGGTTCTATTGATTTGTTATGGCACTTTATATCGGTAATGAGGTACATGCCGTTGTTGTGTTGAATTCACGTTTGGATAATTAGTCAAAACGTGGAAATGATTTGTTATGGTTCTATTGATAATGGTACTTTTGTTCATGACATCAAATTAGGAAATGAGGGTCTAGTTTGTCTGTGGGCACAGTGAGAGGCTTTTGGCGGTATTACCTCAATTTATACGAGAAATGGATTGTCGATCAGAAATACAAAGAACCGGGTAACACATGTTGAGATGGATTTGGAGAAAGATTATCCGGAGAGACACAAACCTTCTTCATAATTTTGAAAGGGAAACTGCTCTTGCCGTGAATGTTGGAGATAGCGGTTTTGTTCGCGAGAAACCATCTGTAAGTGTAAAGCTATCTGATTGAAAATATGATCTGCTTAGCAAAAGTTTGTGTTTGATATTAATAAGGACGACTCATTTATCTTATCGTAATTCATTATGATGTTTGTATCTAAAACTTGCGCTTTTAGGAGGAGCAATTTAAAAAAGTAAAATCTACAGAGTAATCAAGATCCAATTTTACAATATAAGGGTAAAAAATTAAATAAAATAATGAAACAAACCGGCTTAGAATGTCAAACAACTATGTCAGGCTCAACATTTTGTATCTTGTCTTTAAATTACAAAATCCCAGTCCTGTTTGGTTACAAGTTAAAACTTAAAACTAAACAATAGCAGGAAATACTATGCCCACCAAAAAATTTCAATTTCGCCTACGAAGATTATATCTCTTGGTATTTGAACTGCTTACTGAGGAATCATCCTCGATTTCCTTAGGTAAGTAGTCAGGGTCTTCTGACAAGTTCACCTTTTCTGGTAACTCAGTATCGACCCATGAAGACCAGTTTACTTCGCTTTCAGCATCCATGTCATCCCATGACAATAGCCCTTTCCCACCTTGCATTATGTTCACTTTCTCCATTAGTGTCAGTAGCATTTGATGGTTAAGCACTTCATAATCCCTGCCACCATTTTGCATAACATTCATAGTCACGTCAATATAATCTGTCTGTTTTTC